ACTTTGTCCTGTCGTTTCCCGGAGCCCTGTCTGGCGGTCCGATTGATTACTTAATTAATTAATTGATTAATTAATCGCGGTGGATAATAAATTATCGTGGGGAAGATGGAAATAAAAATAGAGAAGAGGCTCTATTTTTTTTTCACTTTTGAGGGTTCTTGTCTCCAGTTTAGCAAGTAAGTAAAATCACACATTTTTTTCTTCTTCTTCCACCCCCCCCCCCCCTTCCCTCCTCTCCGGCCTAGTGCGAGTGGGTATGATAGATACCACGGTATCACGGCATTGTTAGCCACTTGGCGGCTGTGGAGAAGGGGGGAGAGATGTGTAAAAAAAAAAAAAGTAGCAGAATCATGAGAAGAGTATTACAAGTATTATACAGTACTACAACCACCGATATGGGGGCTCCCGGGCAGAAGAGACGTCAAGGCTCACTCCAACCATTCTCACATCATAGCTAGTTACCCAGAGGTGTGTGACGTGACACTGTACCGTGGAACGTGGAGGAGAAGGAAAGAAAGAAGGAAGGGAATAGGAGGACAAGGGGGATTGGGGGGGGGGGAGGTTTCACCAATTACCAGTACTGTATAATATGTACACTAATTCCCAGATTCACTTCACATAACCTGCATCTTGCGCGACGAGGACGATATCACTCGAGTAGCACAAACTCTTGCACTCCTTCTATCTATCTATCGTGCGCACTCGCGCCACTATCATCATTGGATGCGGTAATCGGCGGCCCGGTCGATTCCTTCCTTCCTTCCTTCCATCCTACCTTTCCCCTTCCTTTTCATTCATTCCCTTCCTTTTGTTTTGTTTTGTTTTTGTGAAACTATTGGGAATCGAGCACTCGATTTCTTGATGCGTTGTGATGCCACCAATGGGAAAAATCCCGGTGACATATGGGCTGCGTGGTGGTGTGGTGTGGGTGGGGGGGGGAGGGGGGGGAGGAGAGAGGTGTTGTGCAGGGAAAAGTGAGGTAATCACGAGGCACACATGATATTACATGCGCTTTCGTTGCGGTGCCATAAGTACACTTTGGGCCCGATTGATATGGTCCTATCAATGATCAGTGCACTGGTTTCTTCACCTTACCTGACCTTACCTTACCGCGTTCTCCGGTTTTTTGAGGCTCCTCGTCGGTGCGATGGATAAGTTGGTTGGTTGGGTGTGCTGGTGTAATGTTGTATCGTACGGTATCCTTTTTTTTTGCAACGGCATTGTGTCGGTGATGTAAGTACTGTACAGTATGTATGGTAGAGTACGGTACAGTTGGGTATTTTATTATACTATTTGTCGCCGGCGCGGAGGAGAGGAAAAATACAGAGCAGATCCCCAAGGTGAGTAGGTGAGTAGTTAAGTAAGGTAAACTAAAGTATGTAAGCAAGCCAATGAACATTATTCCACCAATGGCGATACTTGAAGGTATAGCTGCGGTTCGTCTTCTTCTTCTTCTTCTCGTTATTTTTTAAAGAGCGTGGGTATCTTTTATTTGAGATAGCTAACTAGTTGACTAACTGAGAGTAGCATGGAATTCAAACGGACGAGGGTAAAAGGCTAGAACCTGGCGAACTGGCGAACTGAGCGAGCGAATAGAACGAAAACAGAAATAGTTCGGGGAATACTTGAGTTTTCGCACAAGTAAACTTGAAAGACATCGTGAAAAGGGAAACATCGAAATATCTGAAAAGGCAAGAAACTTCCTCCTCCTCCTCCTCCTCCTCCTAGTGATAAAAATAATGAAAAGCCACCAACACCGCCAACAACCGATCCCCTTGGAGCAAGGGTTACCCTGCAAGAATGATATCGATACTGTCGAGTGCATTACTGAGTCCGGTCCTCAGTATTTCAACCTCCTAGAATCTCCGTGATTCTGGGCTCCGGGTCGGCACCAAACTTCCGATAGACCCCTCTGATTTCCCCTAGAGCTGCTTGAAGGGAGTCTTGGGTCTGCTGCAGTCTCCCTTCAGACTGCTCCAGTCTCCCTTCAGACTGCTCCAGTCTCTCTTCAGATTCCTCCAGTATCCCTTGGGTTTGGCAGAGTCTGGCTTCGGCCTGTTGGAGTTTGGCTTCGGCCTGTTCGAGTTTCCCCTGGGCTTGTTGGAGTCTCTCTCCCGCTTGCCGGAGCCTCTCTCCGGCTTGCCGGGCTCTCTCCTCTAGGAGGGTGTATACCTGGAGCTCGTAAGCTCCCTCAATCTCAGGCACCACAAACCCCAAGAATGCCCTTTTCTGGTCCTCGTCTATGGGGTCTATTCGGCAAGGAGGAGAAATGGTTAGTAGGGGGGGCAAACAGAATGTGGTTAGGTGGAACTGGAAAGGGTTCATGTGCTAGCATACCATCTATCCCCCGCTCCCTTGCTTCATCCCCGAAAAGGTTCCGAAGACCTATCTTGATTCTGTGGTTTCTTGTCTCCGGTCCGTCCACTACAATTTTAAGCACGGATCCTGACATTGTGTGTGGGGTTGGGAGTTTTTTTGGGGGGGGGCGTTGGGGTTTGGGGTGTTTTTTTGATTCTTCTCTTTTTGTATTGAGAGGGGGTGGGGGGTGATCTATTGGTAATCCCGGAATTAGCTTGAGCGCATTCTGATAAACTCTGATCACAGAGCGTGATTGAGGAGGAATATGATAGGGGCATACTGGGCTGTTTGCGCCGGCACTGGGGGGCTGGTGTTGAGAGAGATTTTACTCCAAAGGTGCTTAAAGTCTGAGTTGTAGTAATGGATTGTTGTGATGTTGAGCTGCTTTTTTGGTCTGTCAGAGGGTCGGGGAATTCAGACTTTATACCCTAGAGACGGGCGGGGTGTGCCAAAATTGTTCACAGTTAAAACCGGATAGAGTTCACACAATAATCACACATCCCAAAAGCGCTCAAGAGCTAGAGCATGATAGAAGCACACATCCTCAATATCTAGCCCTGATAGCCCTACAATGACGAGGCCGGGTGCAGAATTCGCATGCTGTTAGTACTCGTGATCCTTCAAACTCTTGAAACCATGCAACATGTTTTGAATCCTGCTAGAGTCGGGCTCGAGGATAGTGCTAGTAGCCTGGCTAATTCAGCTGCGGATTGCCCGTAGGAGGTGACGGAGCAGAATCTAAGTGAGGCGATAATGACGCAAATTACCTGGGGAATTTTTGTTAGATTGAATAGTATTTGGTGTGAGGTAAGCATGGAGCACAGTTGCGCCGTCGTAGGGTGCAGAAGGGGAAAAAAAGAAAAAGGGAGCTGGAGAGGTCATTACCTGCAACTCTTCTCCACTAGCTGGGTGAGTGCGCAATTTGTCGATATTAGCTAGTATTGGAGGTCCCATGCCCGCTAATATTGTCTCAGCCTTCAACTCGAGGTCTTTGTCCTTGGTGCTTCGTGTTTGATTTCGTCCAGCAGGAGTAAGGGAGGGGGTGGGAATCTCTTGTAGCCGGGTGGCTGCCGAGTGACTGTGCATGAGGGGACTAATCACTCTCGTAAAAATTAACAAATCTGGGATAAATTGAACCCAAAAACCCATAGAAAGGTATAATAAAGGAAGAAATCCCTAAATTATAACTAAAAGAGGAACACTTGAATGAAAATTGTAACAAGAGGCAAGGCGGCCAATCGGCTTTAATTGCAATCTTCTTTTTGTTCCCGGTTAAGCAGCAAGCCCTGTTTCTTAATTAGACGTACCAGCGCATCGGAAATTCTTGGATGGCATGGGGTCCATACCCCTCACCCCATCTTCCTTGTACCAAACACCCCCATCCCAAAAACGTTTGCTTATCAACTCCCACGATGAGAAAAACAGGGATGAGGAGAAATCTCTATTTAACAGGGCGGACCCGGGTCTCCACTTTGAGTTTTAAGGTGGCTCGATGCGAAGGCCTATGAGATTCCCGGGGTTTAGTGTCACTGTGCATTCGTGCGCCAGGGGTTGTATGATATATGCGGGGGTGTGCAATTCTGACATACCCGGGGCAATGCATTCTTTTTAAAATCGCAGAAGCCAATAACTGTTTTTTTTTAATTCTTAAGCAGCCAAATCCGTGCACTGTGTACTGAAGGGTAACTAGCTGGAGCCTTGCACACGTATGGTGGCTCAGGGCGCTGTGGTTCCCGTGGTCATCGCAACCCAGAATCATTTGTCTAAGAGACCAGGGAGCATCTGGTATTATTTGTACACCTTCGCGGGGGTGTCTAAGGTGGGGTCATGTCAATGACTGTGCTTTCGACTGGGTTCCTGAGACATCAGCTACTAGATATCATGTGGGGTTTGGGCTGTTGACTCTGCTGACCGGTGGTTAGCAGAATATACGCAAATATTAGGAACTGGGTGAACTCGCTCTGCTGACACTAGCCCAGTGCTCCTGCCCCCCCCCCCCCCTCCCTCCCTCCCAGAATGTCTGCGCCTGGCGAGTCCTTGATTGCTGTGCTTAAGGCTATAATAGACAACCAGACTGTGATTATTTGGCTATTTTATAACCTTTTATTGGCTTTTTTTTTGGGGGGGGGGGGGAGAAGCGGAGGCGGAGCAAGAAGTGACTTGTTTTTTTCTCTATCACAATCCCAGAGTTAGTCAAGGAAACTCAGATTGGAGAAAAGGATTGGCTTTCTGATTGAAAATCTGGATTGGTGGATAATAGGCAAGTGTAAGGAGGATCAAGTTGGGGCGCCGAGAGAGTGGATATAATAGTGATGGGGACAGTTGACACCTCAAATTCGTGTTCGGCCGTGCAAATGTCGGCATCATGAGGATAGTGGGGTCTGTTTTTTTATCGTGACGACACTTGATTAGATTCGGCAGAAACTCGAGAATAGTATCCCACCATGATAACACCATAACATTCCTGGCCGTACTACGGCCCACTGCGCCAACGGAGACTTCTTGAGACTTAATTTCAATGCGTAGTAGGGTGCTCGGCGATCTTGAAGTATTCGGAACGGGGAATATGCAAATTATCTAGGTAAGGTATAACCTGTGCCTCCTCAGGCAACTAATTTTGTGGAAATAACTATAAACCACTCCCACAGCTAGAAAAACCATATTCCGAATCCACCTCACACATCCCCGAGTAGGATCTTCCAAGCGCTCCTTCATTTACCCGGGGATTGAGTAAGCAGATCACCAACGGTCACTCGCAAAACAAAATTTTAGAATCACTCTTGAGCTATGAAAGCCGATTGACTGGGACCACACGCCCTGGACTCAATATTAACTAGAGATTCCTACAACCGTGGATCTGGGCCTTGAGGGTATATTGCCCCCCTCACACCTGTGGACGGAAAGAAGAAAGCGAAAACAAGTTCGAAGATACCTCCGTGAAGTGCTAGGCTGGGTCGAAGGAAATAGTTGTGAAAAAAAAGGAGGCAACCCCTACTTAGTCTGTAACCGCAAGTAATGCCTGGATCTCCTCCTTAGTGAACCCAAGGATGTACAAGATATCCAACATGGTTTCTGAATTGAGTCTTGTGGGTGCCGCAAGCTGAACAGCAGGCTTTGCATTAAACGCAATGCCGACACCAGCTTTCTTCATCATTATTAGATCATTTGCGCCATCCCCGACTGCCACAGTCTGTTCAAGAGTAATCCCGTTATCTTTGGCGATCTCTTCAAGTAAGACTGCTTTACGCTCTGCGTGCACGATGGGGCCACTAAGGTCCCCGGTAAGAAAATTGCCATCTTCCGAAACCACGAGCTATCGAACCCTTGGTCAGCAGACTATCGGGTATCTTCTTCGGATACTATTCGTACATTATTTGCATGAGCGTAATCAAAATCAAGCTGCTCTTTAACATACTCGGCTAGTGGAATGAACCCGCCACTGAGGACTGCCAGCTTATACCCAAGTCTCTTAAGCACACGGCACAGCTCGCGGACGCCGGGGGTAAAAGTGATGATGGATTTAAGGTCCTGAAATACTGTTGAGGGGACTCCTTTGAGCAGTGCAACTCGCTGCCGAAGAGATTCTGTGAAGTCTATTTCCCCATTCATTGCGCGAGCTGTGATGGACTGTGATAAATTAGATACTCGAGGTGGAATAAATTTCAAGGGAGGAAATAATACCGAAACCTGGTCCTCCACTCTAATAAACTTCGCGATTTCGTCAATAACTTCCTGCTCGATTAAGGTCGAGTCCATGTCGAATACAGCAAGGCGCTTGTACCGTCTGAAGATGTTATTTTCCTGTAAAACAAGCTCGACATTCCATTTCCTCTCGAACTGCCATAAGCTAGTATGTCTTCTCAATTCACTGAGCTGTAACATTTCTGGCATGGACAAAGAAATCTCCATAACTTTTGGATGTTCAGCGGAGTCGAGGCAGCGATGGTTGGTCCCCCACTTCTTCCATGGTACGAGCAACTCATCGATTGTCTGGATGAACTCGAACATAGCCATGTCTGAAACGTAGGGGCCGAAATTGACATACTTTTTCTCAACATCGATTTTTTCTCCGTCGGCTGTGATCAGGGTCTGATTAGGGTTGTAGAAGAGGGTAGCGACCAATTGCAACGCGGACTCGGTAGGACCACAGTGCGTGTGCGAGACGGTATGCACAATTCCAGAGTTTTTAATCAAAACACGTTTGCCCTCAGGCGTAATTATTTCAACCGGAGTGGTAACGTCCTCGTTTGGAGTAGGAGGTGCTCCGTGGAGGTCTCTGATGTGAAGGGCGGCATTGTAGCTTGTGGCTCTTGTCAGGCCCTGCCTGGGTGCGGTGGGAGGAGTGTTGTGCGGCTCGGTTCGGCTCATGATGATGAGGGAAAGAAAGAAGGAAGGGGCACCAAGAATGGGGTGGCAGTCCAACTATTTTGAAGGTTGGGGGTAGGCGAGGGAAGGGGAGACAAACGGTGAATGGAGTTAGGACCATAAATGAGGGAAGGCACAGGGTAAAAAGGAGGGGGAGGGGCAATGGATCTGTAGGGTGGCGTTTTTTTTGTTTTTTTTGGAGTGTACTCCAGTATCATAGATTTATTGGTTGCAAGGTTGTAAAAGTCAAGGTAGGGGGTTGAGGAATGGCTATTGGAGGGTAACCAGGTCCGCGTCCCCCGCCATAAGTATGATATGATACCTGAAAGCAGGGGCGTAAAAAGAGGGTTTTAAAGTACGATCCCAAATCGTTCCGTACGGCACCGCTACGGCAACCCCACTACCACCATAAATATACCACCCACTCAACCACAATTAGTCAAAATGTGTAGAAACTTTAGATATATATTATTAAATAAATGCAAAGAAACCCCCAAACAAAATTATAGAGAAAAAATTTAATACTTTGTGTACCATCCCCTTGCATCCAGAACAGCAGCTATCCTCCTAGGCATAAACTCCCATAACTTTTCCAAAAAAAATCTCCTTCAATATCCTGAGTCCAAACCTGATTCAGAGCTTCTTCTGCTAGATATTTTCTGGCAGTATCTGGACCTCCTTTATTTAGTCTTGTGAATATTAGGAAAGTACTGATGCAGCTTTTCCTTGACCCTTTTCTAATAGTGCTCAATAGGATCGAGATTTGGGGAATTGGATGGCCCTTTCATAACCTGTATGTCATTTTCTGCAAACCAAGTTATAGTATCTCTTGCAGTATATATCTTTACACCATCCTGCTGAAAGATAGGATCTTCAACTGTATCCTCTACCTCCTGCCAGGTATCAACTAAACCATTCTCCAAAACTCCAATATATACAAATCTATTCACACTCTTGTCAAAAATAGGAACCAGAGAACCCTTATTTTTACTCTAAATCCAAGTCCAAACAATCAACCTTATCTCAGGTTCTTTTGTAACCCCATTGATTTAGTCCTTATACTACTTTTCCTTAGGTGTTCTGAAGATCCAAATACACTTAGGATCTTTAGACTTTTCAACTGAGCATTCATTACTAAAAATAATCCTCTCAAAACCCTCCTTTGTTCAATTCTTACACTCCATTGCTCAAGCTAATATCACAAACTGTGACTAAGCAAGACAGATTTCACATAGCTCAGGATTCTGAGCTATAGGTATGTTAGGATTTCAAATGATGAGCAATAGCAAGTCATAGGTTATTATGTTTACCTATTCATGACTCACAGTTGTGAGTCACATGATATTATGATTTTCACATATGACTCAGATTATGAGTCATGGGTTTTACTCAGGTGATACAAGTTGTATACTTGACATGGTTATTAAGTTATTGATTGGTTTAAGGTATATTGAGCAGTAACTTGTAGGAGTCAACTAAGAGATCTCACATAACTTACATTTGTGAGCCATAAGGTTTGCATGATATGAGGTATAAGTCACGCTAGGTGAAGAGCGACTATATAAAGAGTCACCAGGATCTCAAGTATGAGCTCTTCACATGTTTTTTTAAGATATTTCCTATACTTCTTATTTCAATAAAGACCTCCATCAGCAAAAGTTTACTCTTGCGTCCTATGTGTCCTGTGCGTCAGATGCACAGGACGCACAGGACACAAACCGTTAATTAGGATGTCGGCTGAATCCGTTGTTGCATCCTAATGTTCGCATCCACACCCTCCTGCATCCTGACGCTCACTGGACACGCAGCACTCCAACCCCCCTATGTTCTAACCCCTTGCTAGCTCGGTTCCGGGCGTCCTGACAATCTATGCACTTTCCCCCCTAGCGTCCCAACGCTCCTACTACTCCTGCTTGGCGTCCTGATGCCCTTACTACTCCCGGCCACCGTCCGGACACTCCTGGACCTCCTGCCCGGTGTCCCGGGCATCCGGCCACACCTGCTTTGCGTCCGGAGAATCTCTGCTGCTTTCGCCTCTCGCCATGATGCCCATCAGCCCTCCCCCCGCGTTTCAATCCTGTCCGTGTAAAGCCAATTCTGTTTGGATGACTTAATCTATATCGGCATCAGCGAAAATAAATCCTGTGTCAGACACGCGGGCGCCACGTCCGGATGCCCGGTGTTTTTCCCCTGCGTCCCCTGCGTCCTGTGCGTCTAGTCTTGCGTTGCAACGGCCAGCCGCGTCCGCTGCATCCTCCATTTCAACCCCCGGTTTATCCCGTCATCGGCGACGCCTCCCACGTCCGGCCGTCCTGACGCCGTCCCCACTCACCTCTCACATTTCATTCTATTCCGGACGCCCGTATCCACACCTTTTTTCTCCATCCTGTTGTAATGCATTCGGCGTATCTGCTCTTCTCAGGGCGGCGATACCGTGTTTTGATACCCGGCGTCCCCCCGTCTGGTTCACATCGTCCCATCCTCTGGCGTCTGGACTCGGTCCACATCTCCCCCGGGAGCCTGCACCTCACTGGGAACTCCTGACGCTGCACTTCTACTTTCAGAATTGGGTCCTACCGATTTCAGGACTCTGTATCTCGTGTAGGCTTCTATTTGCCGCCACCCCATTCCCACTGTGAATGTCATATCTCGATCAAGTTTATTTCCATTTTATGACTTCCGAATCTATCTACATTATGCTATCTACGGAGGGTTAGAACTCCAAGAGCTTCCTGTTATGTGATATCCACGCCATAGGCCTCCTTCTCGCCCTTCTCTTGCCGTAAGCGCCTAAGTCTCATATGTTGAATGCCATCAATTCCTAGGTGTCCCAGCCCCACGCCCATACTATGAGAACAGGATGCAAAGACCGGTTTTGGCCCTGCGCCGCATCGTGCTTCCCGTGGGATCGAATCCTGGCTGAGCGATTTGCCAAATTGCTCAATATATTTCGTTGAACGTCCGTAAATCGATCCGACTATTAATAAGCCAGCGCTGTTCCGCGTCCTGGATCAAGTGCGCCAAGCCGGTAATGGTGCCAATATCTACTATGGTAAATCTTTGGGCACCCTGCTTCAGCTGTACGGTGATGAGATCATGAAACTCGGATGGGCGTCACGAGTTAACTACGCTCAGCAGTTGGACACACGCGAGTCAGTAAACCCTATCACCCTGTGTGCAGTCTCGGAGTTTGAAGAGCGCCACAAGTTTCCCCGGCAGGTGTCCTCTTAGCGCACCATACATCTCCTCCCCACCAGTCCGTACCCAAACCCAATCATTGCGGCTTCCCTGTTTCCGGAACGGCTCGTCTCCTGTGGATCGCGCCCGGTGTATGTCGTAAACATCTGTTTCCTGAAACGCCAGAACAGGAATTTCAAGTTGTGTTAGGAGCTCGACAGGAAGATACCGGAGTACCGCAGGATCTTCCAGAAGCCAGCAGTCAAGGGGCAGGCCTTGACGGCTATATCGAATCAATTCCCCACAGAGGTTCTCAATCGAGATACCCAAGACATTGCAAAAATCTGAAGCATCAGAAACATTAGCACGACGTCCTCTCAGGACCCTACGGCGGGTCTCTGGTACAGATAGTGGGCTCGCCGGGTCCAATAGTTTACCAACGTCAGCCGGGATGTGGGCCCCACGACGTCGTAGGAAATCTAAGTTCAGAAGCCGCTTTCGGATCGACTGTTGTCGGCCGTAGCTGTGGAGTATCTGCTGCGCAGCATCATTTTTATTCGAGCGTCGCTATCCAGCTTTAATCTGTTTCTTATGGGCCAGCTCCCCAAACTCGGTAGAATACATTGGAATGTTGCCAAACCGGGTTATGTGATCGCAAAAGTGAGCAAGTAGATGCATCTTGATAAAATGGAAATGACTTTCTGTATGGATCAAGTCCAAATGCTGGTCGTCTTCAATCTCACGTTGTTGCACTCGCGTCTGGAGCCGGTTGGATTTCGCGCGGGCTGGTGATTGAGCTACGGCTGTTCTGCGTTGTTCTCTCCATTGCTCCTGAACTTTTGCTTGTGTGCGTTTTGATATCCGAAACTCGAGGAAAACATCCTTCGTCGCATGGAACCGGTTGAGATCATTTTGCATATAATCTAAAGTCTCCTGTATATGGCTTCGGTATTGTGCCATTAAACTGAAATCCAATAAATATCTAACGCACGCCAGAGCGCGTTTGAAGGGCCCTACTTGTGTACTGTCGGGTTGTCTCAGCGCCACGGCAAGCACTCCCAGAAGACAGCGACCCAGGTTCCTCATCTCCTTTCCTTGCCATTGCGTAACCTCGCAGTACGCTGTTTTCGGAACAAAGAATCCCGGATATGGTGGTAAAGCCTTCCAGGCGTCGTCGAAAGCTTGACTTCGTACGTGTTTCTTGAGAAATGATTGAACCCAGTCCATCATGTGCTTAAATAGTCCGAGGTAAACTGTATGGAGCAAATCTGGTTTGTATAGATCGGGCGCCAAAACACGTGGAAGCCCATGAAAGACGTTTCGTCCAATCTTGACGCCAAGACCCTCAAAGGTGCTATTGATGTCGTCGGCCACAGAGTCTGTTTCATGATCCAGGCTTCCTTGTTGTAGTCGTTCGTATGTCGCGTAATCCCTCGTGGGATACCCGTTTTGTATCAAGGATTCTAACCTATCCGGAGGCACCTCGCACTTCGGACAGGCATTGGATTTTACTCCATGTAGGGCCACATTTTCCATATGATCCGCCGTCCAAGCCGCCAATATAGGGAAGCACCTCCGGACTCTCCCATCTGCGCAGTCGACCGGGACGCCCGCTTGTGCTGCATCTTGCAAGGGCTCAAATATTAGCTGGAATACACCTTGTAGCGTATCCGCATTGATTTGTCGCTGGAGTTCATTTGCGGAAGCCGAGTTTGCCAGTTTTGGGGGCACAGGCAAGAGAGCGAGAAGAAGAACTGCCATTGATCCAGGTCAGTTACGCGTGGTCGACGGCAGATTCCCAACGTTGATATATACCGGCCATGCCTTCTGGTCACCAAAGAAGTTGCTGAGGTGCGTCTGATCCGACATCCCAATAATGGGGACGACTGTGGCGCCACGCGGAAGGGCGTCCTGAGATCTGTTAGCTTGAGCTCCTGCCAACAGTAGTTGGGTAACAATGTGGCACTGTACTTGGATGTCCCACCACCAGTCTGCTGTATGCATTTCGGCGTATATCCTCTGACCGTTGGCGTCATATTCACGCCGCGGCGCGTATACGAGATCTTTGGTATATGTGATCTGGCGCAGAAGATATCTGACACAGTCCAGGACGTTGCGATAGAA